AAGTCTTGAAATTCAGATTCTTAGACTGGCCATAAATGCACCAATGTGTAACCACAGATAAACTGCTTAGTCTCTATCTACGTACCAATGTCACCACCAGTGCAATAGGTGGGAAGCTCCTGCTCCTCAAACTCTTCTAGAACTTTCAGGGGATCCAATGAGGCAGAAGCAGAATCAATGAGACCAATGAAAACTCCAGTTAAAGGTAAGGGCTGGTGAAAACGGTGAAACAAAGTAGTCACAAAGGGTGGTCTCTGAGATGCTGACACCTGCCCTCTGTCCTTTCTTATCAGAAATGAAATTTTAGCCCCAAGAATTTAAGAAGATGTGAAGGGAATGAATTTCTATTAAACCACAAACCTGCAGAATTTCAAGGGCAACACTCCACTTCGGCTTTAAGTAAAATGCCTATTATCCAGAACAATTTGAGTCAGGGATGAATAAACTACCTGGGCAAGCTAGTAATCAGGAAGAAAATATACCTTCTCCTCTCTCAGCTTCCTGCATAAGAAAATTACTAGCTCCTCTATCATTGCAGTCCGGAAGGGAAAGAATTAAATTCTCCTTGCCTTGGCACAGGGCTGCTCCAGGAGCTCAGTGTGAGGCTGCGTTTGCCCAACTAGATCAGGTAATAAGAAGGAAAACAAATGTACATGTGTGTGCACGTGTGTGTGTGTGCACATGTGCATGTGTGTCATGAGGAGTCAGGCAGGAGAATGTCTGGCAGATGCCATGTCTCTACCAAGCTGCTGTCACTACAAAACACTGGATGCAGCATCCGGGGTACCACCTCTTGGGAAAATTTTTTTTCAAAGTCCATGCCCTCCCTGGACAAATGTAGACAGACTTCTTCAGAACAGTACAAAGCTCTCATCCCTCTCAAGGGCAGATATGTCCCCAATGTATACCCAACCCCCTTGAATACCTTTTCTCCCCACTGCCCAGGCCTATGGAGAGAGCGCTGCAGGATGCTTAGGCCACAGTTGGTGTATGGGGTCTGGGCTCGTAGATTTGCAGTTAGAACTCATTGACTCATTGACATTTTTGAGTTATAGTGCAATATTCAATTGCTTGTTGAGGAGATTAACTTATGCCTCAATGTCAAGGATTTAAGGTAGACGTGAGAAAGCTGCCTCTATCAGCAAATGCTTTCAAGAGCCAAAGGGTTATGTAAGAGGCATCTTGTGCTTGTCTCTGCAAAGCATGACACAGCAGAGACCCCCCACCCCTACCCCCAGAAAAGACATGTGGACCTAATCCCCAGCCACATCCTTCTCAGATCCACAGACCAGCTAAATTCTTTAAATACACCTTTTGGGGCCTAAATATTCACATTCCTCAAGCAGCTTAAAGCAAGTTTCAATAGATTTTTTTTTTTAAAGCAAAAATAGATTCCTTGCTTTCTGCTGCACAACTGAACATGACTTCTCCAACCTCAGCAGCAGAGGTAACACCTGTTGGTAAAAATGTTTTGTGCATGACACATACCAGAGCCCTAGATTTGCTGCTCAGCATTTCTATGTCTTGGCTGGCACTGCTTCGGATACCACCTTCCACTCTTCTGGACAGCAAGGCAGTTGCAGCAGAAAGGAGATGGTCTGGTTTTGCAGCCTTCCATCAATCACCCCAATTACCCACAGACACCAGGATAGAGACTTTTATGGAAGCCACTGAAATAAACTTTGTAGCTTAAAGCAAACAAATCTATGGCTAAATTCAGTGAACTGCAGACAGGGAGACACTGATCTTATACCAACTCCTTCAGGCTAATGAGATGCTTCCAGGAACATCAGTGACACTGGGGAAAGGCTCCCTGAGAATTGTGAGGCTGTATTTTCTAGGTCCAGTGTGTATCCACATCCCGTTAGCTGGGAGGCATTTGCAAATCTCAATAATCCCTCTCCCCCACACACCTGTCTGTCCTTTTCCTGCTCTTCGGAGGCACGATCTCTTAGAGGGATGCCGTGCTAGTGGCTCCTCCCTGTCTCTGCAGCAGGTTCCAGTCAATCAAGGCACAGAGGGAAGAGGCCCCTTGAAATGTACATACTGAGCTTAAGTGCTCTCCACTCCCTACAGACAGGCTTCCTCACTCTCTTCACTGCATGGTCCTCTGCGTGTAGAGATGGCCCTTGGAGCTACAGAAACTGATCATGTAGCCGCAGGAAGAGGCCAGAGACTGCCAGGCTGTCAACATCCTGGCTCATTCATCAGCAGCTCTACATACAGGCTGATGATCCCTTATCGGAAATCTTTGGGGCCGGATGAGTTTCAGAATTCAGATTTTTTTTTTTTAATTTTAGAAAGCTAATCTATTAACACCCAAAGCAGAATCTGAGGAAGCATCCTATAGACTCATTTCATTATTTTTTTGCACCCAAACATGAATATTCATGCTAATATTCTATTAGGTCAATCAAATTGGTTATGAAATGAAATCTAGAGTTCTTAAGGATGGGAGATTTGGCGTCATCTGGTTCAATTTCCTCCAAGAGATATCTAAACCCAATCATTCAGGGACAAAGACCCACAACAAACAACAGACAGATGGGGCAACATCCAAAACCCCAGCAGACATTCCCTGACTCAGGAGGCCCACGAGACAGACCAGCTGAGACCCAAACAAGTTCACTTGGAGAATCCATGACACAGAGAATGGCTTCTAAGCTGAGCTTCCCTGGCCTCAGAATCCAGAAGAGAAATGATTCCACAGAGTCCTGCAGCACCCGAGTCCATGGAGGACTCAAACGGTACAGCCAATCACAGACCAGAGTAGGATCCACACAGCAGTAGCAAACCAGATATGTCAGAGCTCTGATCCCATGGGACTGATATTAACTCAACAGGGAGCCAGGCAAGTCACGCTTTGATCTTCCTGACTTGAGAAGCAGGAAGAGCACCTTACAGCTACAGTCTCTCTCTCTGTCCCCTTAGATGCCAGCATTCCCTGGGTTCCACCTCCCACCCTGCGCACTTCCCTCGATAATGAAATCCACTCCCACGCCTCACCTACAACCTTTATGCCCTGGACTCCCACATCTCAATCGCTCATCCCACCCTCTTCCCCAGCTCCAACTCATATTCTCAATGTCCTCTTGGGCGCCTCCTCTGGCTGCCCACGTGCCTCTCCTGCTGTGCCACAGACAACTGGCACACGCTGATATATGTCAGCTCTATGCCACTGCCTTGCACTTGGCTTGGTCACATGACTGCTTCTGGCCAATGGAATGTAAGCACAAATGTCATGTGTCACTCTTGGCAAAGCTATTCAGTACACGGTACACCTGCCCCTGTTCCCTTCCCCTCCATGAGACAAAACAACACAGTGGAGAATCAAAACAAACATTCTAGGTCCTGGAGTCACTGCTTAGAAAAAGGCACTGGATTTGTATTGAACTACGAGAGAAATTAATTTCTTTGGTAAAAATTTACCAAGATTTTAGTATTTCTGACATAGCAGCCAGTGTTAATTACCCTAATATATCTGCCTTCTCCACCTGGCAAATTCCTACTTATTGCTGAAATCCAAATGTCACCTCCTCTGTGAAGTCCACGTTCCATGGAGAGTCAGCCATTCCATCTTGTGACCTCGAGCAATCCTCTCACACATCTGTCACAGCAGTTACCCAAATCCACTGCCACATTTCTGTTTGCATATTTGGCTCCCACATTTGTGTGGGCTGCTTTTCTCATCCCTGTACTCTCGGTGCCTTGCAAGTAGCAAACACCCTACATGCTTGATTTACTGAAGCAAAAATCAGAGCCTTCTCACTATATGACAAGCAAACCACAAGTCAGCATTTCCCTCCGAGACACAGTGTTCTCAGCATTGCGCTAGCTTCTGTGGCAGGAGGCAAGACAGAAGACACTGTCACCCCCTTTTTCTTTAGATCCTTTATACCCGATTATCTCCCATCTGCATTAAAGGACAGCTTCCACTTATAAAGAGCATGGTCTTTTCAGGAATTATCAGCTAAAACATCTCTCAGAAAGCCAGATCAAAGAGGAGTGTTTCAGTGACAAGATTAAAGTAGAACAGGGCTCTCTTGTGGCCCCTTTGACCAGGCTCCCCTAGGCCCGCCACAGTTCAGATCCACAGCCTGACACTCTGGGGTCCCGCGGCTGCAGCAGGGTTATTTCTGGGGTGAAAAGAGCTGCAGCAGAAGCATCGCTGGCTCCTCAGGGACCCAGATGTGGAAATGACAGGCCAGCCATGCTGAGTCACATCATCGCCACTTGGCAAAACTTCCGAAACCAGAAGCACGTAACCATGTCACTGGTCAGGGAGACAGAGCAGGGGAATCTTTTCTTTTAAAACATAGTGAATTGGCTACCATAACATGCATTGTGAGTAGTTCCAAATCTCCCAGCTCTCTTAAGGACATGATGTGATTCTTAGTCCCAGTCCAAGGGACATAGTGACCATGAATGAATGAATGAACAATTACAACACAACGCTCCCATGACTACCACAGATGAGCATGCTTCCTGCTGCAGCTGCAGCTCTGCCATGGATGTGGAGATGATCCACTTAATGTTCACTAAATTCAGCCACTACTGTTCAGACGGAAATATCTACAACTGAGAGCTGTGGCAAACACAGGTCCCATGCCCACAGCTTTAGAAGAGCACAGTGGGGCTTCTAGGACACATTTCAGAGTGGTAAATGAAATTAGACTTTGCAGAATACTGAAGGCTGGGAATCCTCAGCCAGTAGGGAAGATCAGGAAACACAAAAAAATTGGAAAATTAACTTAGTAGAAGGGAATGGAGAGTCTGGGAGATTTAGGATAATACGTTTTGATGTAAAATAAATATCACATGTAGTAGATATGAGGTACATCAAAAATAGAGGATACTTAAAATCATAGCTAAACAAAGAAAACTCTTCCTGGCTGGCACTTTTATAGGTCACATTCCATGAATTTCACAAGGGATGACTCCCCACATCCCATCCGTGATACCAACTGTACACATGAAAGCAGCACGGTCAGCCGACTCACCTTGTATGAAGATCCTATTCCAGTAGGTTTTCCCAACTTGATTGCCCCCAAGAAACACCAGGTTGGACAGGATCAGCATCGAGGTGGAACAAGACGCGAGGACGGCGTGCCATCGGCGGCGAGCTTGCGGGGACAGGCTTCGGGCCTGCGGGGGAAATGGCAAGACGGTGGCTCATTGCAAGGGTGGAAGAAATAGGGCTAAGACGTCATCCCGTCACCAGCCTGGGACACCTCCCCCTGGAGTCTGAGCCAGGTCATTATTTAAACAGCTCTCAAAACTTCTATTCCTATGACACATTCATTCCGACCTAAGGAAAGAAGTGATGTACTCTAAAGCTGTCACTTCCTCCTACCAAAAAGGGGCTTGTCTCTGACATGTGTAATACAAGTGCTGAAGCCAGTTTAGATTTAGCAGCCCTCCCGCCTCCAGCTGAAATGCCTCCATGTGTTTTCTGCACGTAAATCCACAGGTGCAAGAACCTTCAACTGCTCTCCATGAAAACTAGCACAGAGAGCTCCACGTAACGAGGGCAAGATCAGAGGGATCTTCCAGACCCTCTGACTTGAGCCTGCACAGCCAGCCAAGCAGCCCATAACCCTGACATACTATTAGGAGGAGTCCCGTCACGAGGGTGCAGGAGAGTCAGCACGAGCCAACCCCACTGCTGGGATCAGAGCTCAGGCTACGCACTCCCCCAACAGCACGTGGCGGCATCCAGGAACGGTGGTGTATCAGAGTGCCTGTGAGACCTGAGGCTGGGGAGACGCCGACGCTTTCCAGCAACGATGACGAAGAATTCTGCGGGTCCTTCTAGCTCCTCGTTGCACTTTTTCTTCTTGTAATACTTCCTCAGGGATTTCATAAAGCAAACAGAGCCTTTATTCCTCAGCATGGACCATTCTGGTGGCCTGTCCCAGGTGAGGTCAGTGTGCTGTGTCTAGAGTGTGGGACCCCATCAGCACACCCACAGGGACTGTCCTTGGGACTATGTTCTCAGAATGAGAAACAGGCACAACTCAACAGCAGACATGCCAGGTCCCAGGGTTTCTGACAAATACCTCAGCCTAATCCAAAGGTATGGAAAGGAGAGGGAGCAAAGGGTCTGGAGATATTTCCTGAATATCATCTGGAAACCTACACAACTCTGGGGTCGCCTCCATCCTGACTTTAGCTGTGCTCCATTACAAATAAAATCCTGAAAGACCCAATGGCAGCAGCCTATGTAATTCATGACAGGCAAAAAGGACTGAATTCTTTCAGTCCTTCTGGTGTAAGTCTCCAGCAGGAGGCTTACTTATTTCTGGTGACCCTGATGTGGTCATCTGTGGCTACTCTGCAAGCCTCGATCAGTGTCTTCTTCATATCTAATCTAGAGAAATGATTTCCTGCCCCCCTGCTCTTCCCTTCTACCAGCTCCAGGGTCTGTGCTGCCTGCTCAGATCTAGCTGTGACCGTGTATCTCCCCGTCCATGGTTCTCTCCTCTGACATCATCTTGAATCATGCTCTCACTGCCACCACATGCCGGGGTGGCCTTCTGTGCAGTAGACACTGGCTGTGATGTCTGCCTGGATATGACTGCTCTGGAAAGTTCTCCAGTGATGCCACCACGGCCCTGCTTGGAGGCCACCAGACGAGATGACCTCTAGTCTCCCCCCTGTTCAAAGAGGCCACAATCACGTACAGGGGGATGTCATAGACAAGACCCAATACAAAATGACCACAGGTGTGAAAACTGGTAATGAGAGAGAAAGGGGGGTGAAGTGGCTTGCTATTCAGTCCTCTTCTCCTCTGAGAGTAAGGAGACATTAACCTACCAGTCTCTGCATTTTAGAGCAGAGGACAATATATTCTGGGTATTATTCAACTGGCAGTAACTGGGGAGGCAGGGTGAGAGGAAACTGGGAGATAGAGGAAAAAATACAGAATAATAAATTAAGAACATATGAATTGTCTTAATTGGCATAACTGCACACAAATAATTCTCTCTGGGTTTGGGGACCACTGATAACACATTTGATTTCTAAGGGGCCCGACAAGTCAGACCCCACTTCTGCTTTAACTCCTCTCAGCCTCCCCCAGCTGTGGACCTGTTAGGGGAATTCAGAGGCCCCATGTGATCTCCCTTTGTTAATGTCAGCTACAGAGAGCATGCTTGGTTAAGCTCAAAGTGGTTCGCCTTTTATGGGAACCAATCGCAGTTGTTAAATAATCAACAGAGACACTCTGAGAGAGGAAGACTCTCTTCCCACGGGGTCGCTAAGCAGGGCTCTGGTGCAGTCACCTGCTACCAGGAAAGGGCCAGACCACATCTGGAGGCCGAGCAGGGCAGGGAGAGGGAGAGTAAATCCTGGAGGGTCCTCTATCCAGCCCCTGGGGCCCTGGCTCCTGCAGACCTTCCCTTGATTCTGTGACTACCCCAGTATCTCTCTCAGCTACGTGATTCAATACGTTCCTATTTCTACTTAGGGAAAAAAAAGTCAACATAGCACAAACTGTGAAGGATCCTCTAATCTCAGAGACAGGAGAGGGCACATCTAAATGTGAAACAACTAACTACAACGCAATTTTTAAAATAGTTTTTTTTTTTTTTAATGAGCAGGAATGTTAAGGGCACAGGCTGTTATAATTAATAAACCAAAATGACTTAAAGGAAAAATCAGGATGCTCACAGGCAATTCTTGATTATCTCCCAGGGAAAGTGGGTGGAAGACAATATAGATGAGTATCAAGAAAATCCAAAAACCTAATTATAACTAATAGTAGCTTCATCCTCTGACAAAACTAGCCATGCCAATAAGCAGCAAAACTGTCAGAGCCTTGCTTCTTTTCACTGTAACTCAGTGCGAGAACAGAATGACGGGCCACCGGGAAGGAAAAAGAGGGCTCGTCTGGATAACCCACAGGATGGTGATATTTAACTGCAAGGGGGCGTGAGTCTCAGCTGCAACCTGTCTCTCCTCTTATGGTTCCCTGGACACACTTTGGAAGGTGGCAGTTTTGACATTAGGGATCTCTCTCTACTTGGGAACCACATGGCCTCAGCCATTGGTTTACAGGAACTCTAGAAGTAAGTACCACACTTATGGGTCCCAGGAGGAAAAATGCCGTATGGGCAAGGCTGGAGGGTATATTCCCTTGGGCCAGCTGGCTCCACTAATAAATAATTATTAGTAATGTATTAATATTAACAAATATTTCTAAAGTCCCCACTTTAAACGCTTAATTTCTTTTACATTCTCTCCTCTGAAGTCCTGTAGCAATTACTTCCATGGTCCCTCATGTCTAGGGTGCAGGCTGCCATGAGTGGGGGCCGTGCCTCACATGTTAGTCCCCCGCCTCATGGCTTAGAGGTGCTTGGAGACCCCTTGGCAAGAGAACTTGTGTTAAAGAATCGTAAACTAAATGGGGAAATATCAGTGTACCATGAAAAGCCATCAGGTACAAAAATGAGAATTGCTAACTTGATCAGATAAGGCAATCATTGATAGATAGAATTTGATTTTCATTAACATGAAATTTGTCAGGATGAAAAAGAGCTCTGGTCTGGTCATGGTCTCTTCCGAGAGGATAGATAAATCTGTGGCAGTGTGATACCCTGGCAGCAAAAAACTGGGGGTGCACCACCCCCCAGGGGATCTTGAGAAAGTTGTTGGGCATTCCTGTCTCAATGACTAAGAGGCAATTGTGGCATGTGGTGGGCGGGACCAGGGGTAATACACAGGCTGCCACGTGCAGGACAGAACTGCCCCGCCCTGCCCAAATGTCAGCAGGTGGACTGTTTCCTTCCACGTTCTCTGTTACACAGCAGAGTTCTGCTCGGCCTATGGCATCATTAGGGGCAATGCCAACAACGTGCCCCTTTCCTCCGGAGCCCAGGGGAAAGTGATCCTTCACAGCACCCCAAGCCTAGGCCCTCTCACCCATGCTCACCATCTGGCATCGAATTTTGAGAAAGGAGGGGCCTCCTGTGTCCTCAACCTGGACAGGCGAGGTATAGCCACCAGTTCCAAACATCTCTCCCTACAACCCCTGAAACTTAAAGCAAAGAGAAAGAATGGGAAGTGAAGAAAGAAAAAAATCCCTCGGTTCCCACGTGGGGGGGTCAGCAGGTCTTCCCATTGCTCTGATTTGTATGACAGAGGCCTGGGTTGGGGCTGTTTTCCTCCAGGTGAATGTCAACATAACCCACTCTTCAGGTCCTGGGGCAGGTGCTGGACTTCTGACCTGGGTACAGCCAGTCCCACAGAATACCCAGAGCACAGGCCTGGGCAGACCTCCAATTACTCCGCCCAAGCATGCTGCCTCTGACCCAGACACAGAGACGGGTGAGAACGTTGTAACGACATCCAGCAGCGGCTTTAAACTTCCCTCTAAGAGACTGACTTCCAAAGGTGAGGAATGTAACCCAAACCAGCTAAACCTTAGAGCTGAACTAAACTTCTGTCAAACTAGTTTGGATTTCCTGCTGTGAGGTGTCCAAGCCTCCCTGTGTTTATTCACATCTCCATGGCAACACCTCCATCTTTTCTAGTCAACATCCTGTCCCTGGAAATCACAGGATTGGCTGCGACAAACAAGCCAGGCCTGGGGGTGCAGACTGCGGCATCTGGGTCAAAGCGAAGCTGGAACGGACTTGGGGGTAGAGGCAGATGGTGGTGGGGCTGCGGGCTGCCGGGCTTGGTGGGCCCCTCGCTCACGCACAGAAGGGCTGCATGTGGGGCGGAGACGGGAGGAGGGGACAGGCTGAGCATCTGGGGGAGCAGATGGCAGGAGGAATGGCTGCTGGAGACGGTGACAAAGGCTTGGCAAGTGGGACCTGATGCTGTTTATTTTTAAGTGGGGGAGAAGCTAAAAACAGAAACTGGGTGGGTTTGAGCAGCTGGACACAGTTCTTCCATGTAATGACTAAAGTTTTTCATTTTCTAATAAAAATGCTAAGCAGAGGCTAAGAGAGGATGAACGAGGCAACGGCAAGGCAGGAGGCTGGTAGAGACCAGGGAGGCCGTACAGATGACATCAAAGACAACAGACACAAGCACAACTCTTGTGAAAGAGAACGGCAGCCAGAGCGAAACACTCAAGGCTGGGGGACTCAGATTCTAAGTCATTCCAGGGCCCCTGTCCCATCCCTGCACCAGCCCAC